CCGGCGTGCCTGTGCCCCACAGCATCCCCACACCTCTCCAGCTCGGACATCTGTTCCATCCCCTGGGGTCCCTGTTCTGCTCTGTCCCATCTATGTGGCTCTGTGGTGTCCCCATCCTTGTCCTGCCTCACCCCTGTGTCACTTTGCTGCCCAAGTGTCCCCATGCCATCCCAACCAGCTGTCCTCGTGCCACCCAAGTGTCGCCATCGCATCCCTGTGCCCTCCTGCTCCAGTACCCCCATGTTCCAATGACATCTCCGTGACACGTCCATGGCACCCTTCTCCTGCCCCATCCCACCCCATGTCCCCACGCTGTCCCGTGCTCCTGGCACCCCCCCTGCTGATGGTCCTGCTGTCCCCGCAGTGCCCCAAGCTGGCCATGGGCCGGCACCTGGAGGAGAGCACCAAGGTGCACCTGGGCATGGTGTGCGCCCTGGTGAGCCGGCAGCGGCAGGAGATCCTGGAGCTGCGGCGGGACATGGAGGAGCTGTCGGTGAGCAGCGATGGGACCCTCATATGGAAGATCGCTGACTATGCCCGCAAGCTGCAGGAGGCCAAAGCCCGCAGCAACTACGAGTTCTTCAGCCCCCCTTTCTACACCCACAAGTATGGCTACAAGCTCCAGGTCTCGGCTTTCCTCAACGGCAACGGGAGCGGGGAGAGCAGCCACCTTTCCGTCTACATCCGCGTGCTGCCGGGCGAGTATGACAACCTGCTGGAGTGGCCCTTCTCCTACCGCGTCACCTTCTCCTTGCTGGACCAGAGCGACCCCTCGCTCTCCAAGCCCCAGCACATCACCGAGACCTTCCACCCTGATCCCAACTGGAAAAACTTCCAGAAGCCAGGGGCTTCGCGCAGCTCCTTGGATGAGAGCACCCTAGGCTTTGGCTACCCCAAGTTCATCTCCCACGAGGACATCAAGAAGCGGAACTACGTGCGGGACAACGCCATCTTCATCAAAGCCTCGGTGGAGATCCCCCAGAAGATCCTGGCCTGAACCCCGGTGCCCCGGGGGGGACAGGATGTGAGCTGGGCGCCCACCCAGGGCTGCCCCAGGTGGTGCTGA